CCCCCACCCCCATAGTTCCCACTCCCCATCACGTACAGACCCCGACTCTCCGTCAAGATTTGCGCGACACTTCTGACGGAACTAACGACTCACAGGAAATCTCTTCTCTCCCTAACGCCACTCTCACCCCCTCCTCTCCTCTCTCCTCTCTCCTCTTCCGAATTCCCTCTCCCAATCACCCCCCCCCCCCCCCCCCTCCCCAATCACCCTCCCCCCCCCCTTACCCCCGCCCCAATCTCCCGTTTCGCTATGCCAGGGGTAGCCCACGTCTAGACAACAGGCTCACAGATGTCAAAATAATGCCCGTGTCGAAGACGGAAGATTACAGTTTTGTCCCGCTATTTCCTTCTGCTGTTTAAAAGTTCATCTCAGTGATCCGTGATTTCATTTCCCCTTCCCTTTTGTGCTGCGTGACCGTTAACCATAGTTGTTTTTGTGTGACCTATTATCGATACCAAGGGTCAGTCTGTCTACTGTTTAGTTTTTAGTTTAGTAGAGTTTTCACGACGCTCACAAATGCATAAGTTCATATGAGTGCCAAGGGGTGGATGTCAACAGACAAATCCTTTCAAGTAATCAAGCCTACTCTGCTCACCTCTCTAGCTTCAACAGCACAACGTTTGTTTTTACTGTCAAGGTACCCCAGTAGCGGCACCAGATTGGCTACCTCAACTTTCTGGGCATTTTAAAAACTGTTGTACATTGGTTTATATTTTTCAATAAAATTGGTTTGTTCCTAAATTGTAAAAGTTGTCACAGTAACTTAGTAAAATCACTAAAATTTCATGATCACTTGTTCTTTTATTAGTGACGTCGATAGCCTAGTGGTTAGGCTTATGGACTCGTAACCGTAAGATTGCCAGTTCGGGGGTTCAAGCCTCAGCTCGTTCCGACGTTGTGAGACAGGCACTTTACACGAATTTACCACTTGTCTCGGTCCTTTCGGAGACGGACATTTAACTAGAAGATCCCGCCCCTTAAATAACCTAATAGTGTTGATAGGGGT